CAGGCGTGGATTGGCGACGGGTCCCGCTTCCACGGGAAGCCGCGGACCTCCGCCGCCGAGCGAGGCGGCACCGGCCGCATCTCGGGGAGGGCGCCTCGCCCCATCCAGGGATTCGGCGACCGCGCGCCACATCCATGGATCGCTAATCCATGTTTGCGCGCCCCCGAGAAACGGCGGCGACGGCGGCAGCTCGCGCGGCGAGGTGCCGCCTCGCACCTCGTGCCTGGAGCTCCCGCTCGGTGCGATGCGGAGAGAGAGAGCGGCCAGCGAGAGGGGGCCACCGCCGGGGAGGGGCCCGCCGTGGCCCACCGGCGGGGGGCGAACAAAAATCCCCACCGGGCGGGAGGTCGCGCAGGCTGGGCGAGTCTGAGGCCCCCTCCTCCTCCTGCTTCTCCTCCTCCTCCTCCTCCTCGACGCCTCTGGTTCATCGGACGGCGCGCACGCGCGCGCACTCGTCCACTGGTGAGCCGTATGTCTGTTTGCCCCCCCTCCTCCCCTGGAAAGTGCTCCGTTCGATTCTGCACCTGACGGTCGTGCCAAGGGCTGGCGCATGGCTTTTGCGCTGAGATCACCTCGGCTCTAGCGGGTGCGCCCCCGCCCCCCCTCGCGAGGAAGTTACGGCGGACGGTCTTCGACAGCTTTCGGCCTACATGGGTCCTCGGCAGTTTTCGGCCTACAGCTTTCGGACGGTCTTCGACAGTTTTCGACCGCAAGACCGTCAACTAGAATGATTGATGGTAAGAATCAGCGAGCGACGAACGGTATAAAATAAACTTTCCGCCGTCGGGGACACCTGCCCCAGGGCGGCTGGAAAGTTTATACCCCTTCGGTGCCACCGTAAGGGTACAAACTTTCCAGCCGCCCTGGGGCAGGTGTCCCCGACGGCGAACAGTTTATTTTATACCGTTCTTCGCCCGTTAAAAGAAGCTGGTCCCAGGGAGCAGGCCCCGAGCTCTGGGTGTCCGCGTTTGGGGGCAGAAGTGCGACGGCGGACTTCGGGGGCCCCCAGGGGACCCGACCGTGCCGTTGGTGCACGCCTGGTGGTGGGCAAAGAGAATAGGCAAGCGTCTGACAGCGAGGCTTCCACCTCTGGGGACTCCTCCTCCTCCTCCTCCTCCTCCTCCTCCTCCCCCTCCTCCTCCTCCTTCTCCTCCTCTTCCTCCTCCTCCCCCTCTTCCGAAGAAGTACACTGTCATCCGCCTAGTTCTTTGTATCGTCCGCTTGAGCCTCGCCTTCCTCGTCCCCCTCGTCCTCCTGCGCCGCATCCTTTGTTGCTGGACGCGCCGGCCTCGTCTGCTTCTCCAGCAGATGTCCTCTGCTGCGGGCGGGCGCGGGGGGTCCTGGGAGGCAGCATCTAATCGTCTTGGCCCTTCCCGCCACCGTGCATGAAGCTTATCGGATGTTCGTTCGGATCTCGTGGGAGGCTTCCCGGGGGGGGCCTCTTGGAGGCAGGTTTTGCCCAGAGGCGAACACTTGGAGCCTCGTGCACCATCGCAATTCCGTCCCTAGGGTGCACTAGCGCCGAGTAGCGTTTCAGATCGATGACATAGCGCAGATGTAGCGTCGACTGGCGTCGCTTTGGCGTCGACTAGCTTCGATCAGCGTCGGCACGCACGAGCCAACAATATGGCATGGGAGGCTCCCAGCAGTTGCCGCAGGAAGTTTGAAGAAGGACAGCCGGAGGTTTCGAGGGTCCGCGCGGAGTGGTCGCACATCGGCGCTGGGCCCCACGGCGGCGCCTCTGGCGCCGTCATTTTGCGCGCTCCACGCGACAGGGAGGTGCAAACCTCCGAAAGTTCCAGTGTCTACGGTAGGTTCGTGCCGTGTCGACCAGCGGCGACCCTGCCAGCGGTGTTCAACTCTGAACGCCGCGGGCGACCCAGAGTCGTTCCATTCGGGGGTGAAAAGAACCCCCACCCTGACACGTCGATTAGTCAATTGTCCGTTTTCGGCTCTCGATAGGGTGCCGCGGCAGTCATTTTCCAGGCTTGCTCCCGCTAGGTTTTGGCCAGCGGTCGTTCACTACAGGGGGTTCTGAGAGAGAGAGAGAGAGAGAAAAACAAAAACAAAAAAAGCTGCCTGGAGGAACGCATGGGGAGAGGGAGCGGAGCGTTGGAGGGCGCGCGGGAGCAGCACGGACACGCAGGAAGAGAGGGTGGGGGTGGTCGCGGCCGAGATGGAGGCAGTGCTCGGGGAGTGGGAAGGAGGGCGAGGCGGGGGCGCGCCGGGAGGGGGACGTGTTAGGTCGGGCGCGTCTCTCTCTGCAGAGGGGTCAAAAGATAGTCCGGGGGCGACTTGTTGATTCTGTTGCGGCATGTCTTGGCTATGTTTCATTTGTCGTCCAACATCCGCCTGTAGGGGGACATGCCCGACCCAAGGAAAGTGGGATAGGGGGCAGGTCTTCTCCGAAGGCGCTGGGGCTTCTCGGGGGTCCTCGGGCCTCCGAGAGGCCGGCCAGAAGGCCCGCCTCCTCCACCCTTCCCCTTTGGGCGCGCCGCCGAGTGAGGTACAGCAATCTGTTTTTTCGCGCTCCTCCTACCGCGCGACCCCACGAAGACATACCTCCTCCGCATGATACGCATCATAATCATCCTAAGAAGACTACACGACTACATCGGACACTTAATACGCCTTCATAATCCCCTAACCCTCCTTCTCATCCTACTCCTCCTCTCCTCCTCCTGCCCCTCTTCCCCCTCCTTTTCCCCCTTCCTCCTCCTCCTCCTCCTCCTCCTGCCCCTCTTCCCCCTCCTCCTCCCCCTCCTCCTCCTCCTCCTCCTCCTCCTCCTCGTCCTCCTCCTCCTCATCATCTGGCAGCTGAAAGTACGACCGTGTTCCGATGACGTGACTGCCGGCTCGCTCGAGCGGTCGGCTTTTTTTCCGTGAGCGCCAGCTGCGGCCAGCCCCCCACCGCCCTGCCAGGGCAGCAGCCCGGGTTTTTGTTGGAGGGTTCGTGGCTCGAGCCAGGGGGCCAGAGGTAAAGCGAGAGGGGCAGGGGTGGTGAGCGAGGAGGATGGGGAGGGGGGGGAGGGAGGGAGCGACCGAGCGAGGGACGGAGGAAGGGTGGGGGAGGGGGGAGGGGGAGCCCGATCGAGGAGGGCATGAGGAGCAAAGAGAGGGGCGGACGAGGAGGAGAAGGAGGAGGAGGAGGAGGGGGATAACGAGGAGGAGGAGGATGGAGATGAGAAGCAGGAGCAGGAGAGCGATCAGGAGTGTGTCTACCAGCTGCTGCAGCAGTTCCCCGACGCGTTCGAGTACACCCCCGAGGTGCTCCTGAGACTCGCAAGCGAGGCCTGCGCGTTCTCCTTGCCTTCGCTATCTCTGAAGGATGATTGGGGGGAGGACGGTAAGGCTTGGAGAGAGGGAGGGAGAGGGGGAAGAGAGAGTCAGCTAAGAGTTAGTTTAAAACATGTACGATTCACACATCGGCCGTCGCCCCGCCGCCCTTCCTCCCCCCGCTCCTGCATGGTGGCGGACTTCACTTCACGTTGCCCCGTTTCGCTCTACTCGCCAGCGCAGTCCTTCAGCCTAGCTGCCGGCGAACAACAAAAAGAGTACAGTGCCGTTTTTAATGCATGCTCCGCGTGCGGATCATGTCTTAAAAATGCAGGGATGTAGCACTAAACGCAACGAAGAGTTTATGCATACATGCATTCATTCATGAATCATGTAATAACGATCCAACATTTTAAAACCATCCCATGTATTTACAAACTTCCCTGTATACAGTCGGGGCCCTGAAGAAGGAACCCTTTTCGTTGGGGAGGGGCTCCGTGTTCCTTGATTGATTCACAGTTTGCCTTCGGGTTTCTGTTTGGTTTTCGATGGGAAATCGAAGCTCAACTTGTGGATAGAAGGGGCCTCGTTCCTTATTTAGGGTTCCTTGGGTCAACGCTCCGACTGTGCACACGTGCCTCCACTTTTTTTTCGGCCAGGGTGCACATGGCGCCGCCAGCGTCGGTGGCCCATCGGTCTCTGGCCGCGGCCCGCGGCCTCTCCTCTTCGGGGCCCGCAGGCTTCTGGTCGTGACCCTTGGCATCGCTCGGACATGTGCATTTTTCCTTCGGCGAGGACCATCGAGGAGCATCCTTGATCACTTGGCGAAAAAACCACGCACGAAACCGAACAAAGCACAGGGAATGGACGTCCGAGCGATGGCCAGGACCCGTGGTCTTCCTGGTCGTGGTCCGACGTGGTGGCCCGTGGCCGCTGGTCGTGGCCAGTGGTCCTCTGGCACTTAGTGGGCCCTGGAAACGACAGGGCCGTTTTGTTACCGGTTCCGTTTTGCCGATTTTTGTTGCCGGTTCCGAAGCCGTTTTTTTACCGGTTCCGTCGCCGTTTTTTGACCGGTTCCGGCTCCAGTTCTGATCCTGGA